TTCTCAGGCGCTAATCAGCGGAACTTGCATCCACAACTATTTCCCCTCTCCTATACTTAATTCACAGTCCCCATATCTCTTCCCCCATTTTCTCCTACCAGGCCTCAGCCCAACCCTCGTCCTCCTTGTCACCGATGAAGATGAGGAAACCAACGGGGACGAAGACGACGACGAGGACCTATACTATAGATTTCAATGCATTGGAAAGTTACACTGCACATAGTATTATTTGTCCACCATCGCTTCGATTTGAAGGTAGCGACCTCGAGGAATGATATCATTTGGAGCTTGTATTACGGAGGTATTTTTTGAATGTAATACTTGGACCACTTTTCTCATTGGTGTCATTAATGAACTATCCAACACTATCTCGATAGCAGGCACAATAATTCAGGTTTGTAGTGTAAATTTCCTTGAAGATAGACGTGGAAGCACTCGAAAATGACGACGGGATTTGGAGCTTGTGTTACAAGGGTATTTCTTAGAAGATAATACTTCAAAGAAAAGACAATTTTCGTTGGTGATCGGTGAACTCCCCGTGTCAGACTATCCAATACAGTCTCAACATGATGATTCAGCGTTGTAGCTTAAATAAGGGCATATCACGATATGAAGTTTTCAGTGGTGCTCGTGCCTCCACTAGAGCAAAAACTACTAATGTAGGCTACGCGGCATCAACCTGAACGCTCTCACCCGCTTGCGTGACTTGCTGCACGACTTCACTCACAGCCGAACCGTTACCGCGCTTTTGTGCACTAGTAACAACCTCCAGCACGCTCGCTAGGCCCGCCTTCCACGCAACAAGACGCTTTTCCAATGCCTCCCATTGCTCTCGCTCAAACGTGCGCGCTGACGAGCGGTAGATGCGTAGAGATTGAGTAGTCTGCGAGAGCTTTCCCGAAAGAAGACCGGTACGGATCACTGTTCGAAGATTATTTGAGATAATTATAAACGACCAAATGTCAAGGAGACATACCATCAATCGCCCACTTCTCTACTTGACTCAATTCGATCTGCAGGACCGATGCGACCTCTGAATATAGCAGGTCATGCCCGACGTGTGCAAAACCCAGTGATGCAAATGACAGAAGACGGATCTTCCTCTCGAGCTGTGCTTGGTCGAGTCCTGCAGGCCCATAAATGGTGGGATCAATCATAAAGAACCAACTTACCATATTTTTCGAGAACAGCAGGATGGCTTTCGAGCCATGAACGGAATTCTGGTAGGCCACTGTTCAAAAACACCTGCAGAAGCGAGAAAAGCTCATGATCTTGTGCTGAAACAACGGCGTCCAACTTGAACAATGGATCAAAGTCGAACAGGGAGGGCAAGCGCAGTGCTAAGGCTATGGCATCGATAGCTGCGGATTGACCTTCAGGCGAAGGGGATGGTAATGAAGGAACGTAGGAAAGCGTGTAATGATAAGCGGTCTCCCTGTATGAATCAAACATTAACTACAACCCTCATCAGTCAAGTAGAATAATACATACGGCTGGCCAGATTGTATGAATGCATCAACAATGGCCTTCAGGAACTGACTGCGCTCTTCCCTAGAGATATCCCATTCTTGTAGCCACTGCTCGACATCTTTTCTGGATAGACGCAAGGTCTCGAGTTCTCCATTTACGGCGGCGAGCTGTAGTAACGCGGTGTAAATAGGTAGTCGGAGAGCTGAATTACGAGGAGTGGCATTGAACAAATTCGACAATACGCGGTACCTCACTGATGGATGCTCGGAAGGTGATGAAGCAAGAACACCCAGGAGCGAGGAGACGTGATGTCTGACTTCTGGTGAGTTGGTCGGCCATAGTGTCAGAAGGTGAGAGAAGAGAAGGTTGAAGTAACCCTCGATTTCTGGATTTCAAAATCAGATCTAATTCGCTGTAGAAAATGCTGAGGATCCCGGACGCACCTTGTTCTGATCCATCGCCCAAGCCTCCAGTCCGATCCAGCACAAAGTTCAATGCATTCCGTCTTCTTTCCTGATCATTTTCAACTGGTTCTTTTAACTTAATGATATCTCGAAAAGATTGCAACGCAGTAGCACGTTCATCCTCTGGGCTACTTCGGGTGGCATAATCCACTAGCTCTTGTATCTGATTAGAGATCAGGAATGAGTCTTCATGAAGAGAGTATAGCCATACCTGTTCTTCGAAGGTCCCTTCTGCGAACACTGACACTGAATCTACGGTAGCCATTTTGTTAAACGAATTTCGGCGATTGAACTATACTTTTGTGGGCACAACTCGACAAATTTACATAAGCAATTAAACCTTATGGCCAGTGGCGGAAGCTCCCGAAAGACGCAACGCCGGACCTGTGACAGACTGGCTCATTCCTGGTGGCATCATGTCATTTGCAAGTCTTAAATATCAAAGGCAATCCAAGGCATCAAGATCGTATGTGACTTCCACAAATCATTCCGAGGAATCGCACTCCACAACTATTCCAAAACTGACACTTTCTGACGATCCAAATACATCAACTCCCAGTAATGGAGGCACTGTGTACCATGGTATACCAGAAAATGTGGAGGTGCGGGTATCAGCAATATCAGGCAGAGGCTTATGGGCCAAGAATTTGATCAAAGCTGGTCAGCAAAGATCGGATTCTTGAACCACACATCGCTTACACAACACAGGTTCTGTTATTCTATCCCTAAGACCGTATTCATTTGCACTTGCTAGCCGGTGTCTGGACTCCCATTGCTCCTCTTGTACTACCACATCAAATTCGGGATTGTTGAGGTGTACTAAATGCCATACAGTTCGGTATTGCAATACAGTTAGTTGCATTAATACCATAATGAGCTTTTTCACTGGTCTAATTCCTCAGTATTAGACGTGTCAGACAAATGACTGGTCACTTCATCGACTCGAATGTTCCTCATTGAGGAAATGGGCCAAGTCAGCACCATCGAAAAACTTATCTGTCCCAAGTGATGCTGTCAGGTGCCTGGGTCGAATTTTGTGGCAGAAAAAGAAGGAAGGGTTTGACAGTAGTTGGGTGGGTAGGGGTTTGTGTTTCATGAACCACGCCGCTAACAGCACCGACAGTCAAAGGAAATCGATGCATTACAGTCTCGTGAGTCGTATGTCACATTCAAGTGCAAGTTATAATCGAGGTGGGATTAGATCGACATTCTTTGCAACCTCGTGTCGTTGAAAATAATACTTACCTTGCCCACTCTCTGGTTCGATATCTTGGCTTGTCTTCTCCTGGAGAGCTGTCGGAGTTTGGCATTGTATCTGCGGGCGACCTTGCTGATTTAATTTCAAGAGTAAGCACTGGTCATCAGACCATTTAGGCATCGCATGCTTAGTACCTGGCAGTTTGTGACGAATACTTTCGCATTAACTTCACCCTCATTGACACCAGTGGGGGTGTCGGTCTCGCCACTTGTTGCACTTTTCAACCATTCTTGTGATCCCGGTGCAGTCATAGTTTTTCCTCGGTCTTCTCGAAATCCTGCGGAGGAGCCGCAGATGCAAGTCATTGCTCTCAGAGACATTTCACCCAATGAGGAGGCGAGTATAAACCACTTTCTCGAAGCGCTTTCACTAACCAGCGATTACTATCAGATTTTGACCTCCTATATCGACACCACCCTACCTCGTTCTCTAAGGCAGGCTGCGTTGGAGGAGACGTATGACTTCACATGCCAGTGTGAGCTATGTCACGACGGCAACAAAATAGATCCTCGTGAATCTATATGGTGTCCAAAGTCGTGTGGAGGGATGTGTCCTGCTCCTAGTGATGGTGAGGACAGTCGGAGCTTTACTTGAAATCTTGGTCGTTCATACACTGGATTCCTAACAGAAAATGAGACATATCAATGCGAGAAATGTCATGCAGTTGTGGCTACACCTGGATTTATCATGGACGCGCTTCGTATTGGACAAGAAGCATTGGCGAAGGCAACTTCCATTCAAAACACGGGTTCGTCCTCCATGTTGCGCAGGAAAGATATTTATATTTCTTTACAGATCATGATAAGGCCTTACAACTGACGACCAACATTATTCCGATACTTGTGTCTGCCGGCCTGACGCCATCCTGTCACCCGCTATTGGCCTTGATAGGACTCCATAAATCATTTCTCTTGTCTTCGTTGTCGGCAAACATAGCACAAGAACTGCTAGACGAGACAATCCGTACTGCAGCTAAGCACTATATGGGGCTATCTGCCATTCTCTGTGATGGCCACCCTGTGCGTGCCGTCGCCCTCGCGGAGTTCGGGAAGCTTTTGGCCGTTGATGAACCCCATCCTGTCACGTCACTACCCACGAACATCGCGTTCCCACCATCCGGCCCTCCACGACTCAAAGCTGCATACGAAACACTAGTACGTGCGAGACACGAACTGATTATTGGTTTTGGCAGAAACAACGACGGCGGTGAGCTCGGAAGAAATATTCGCGAAACAGTGGTGTCGTTGGAGAAAGAGCTTGGGGTGTGGACACAAGGCATACACAACACTCTTCAAAACTCGCTAGACTCCTTACGGAAATGAATAACAATCGAGTGCGCTTTGATTTCATATTGGTGCCTGTTAATGCGGGTCAATGTGCTCTCTAATAATTAGTCCCTAGAGGCCCTTAGCTGGATCCACAATAGCAACGTCATGATGAGTAGCGAAGCGTCACTCAACGATTTCGAGGAGGACTGTAGACTGTTCGGTACTATGTGAGCTCTGCAACGCCCGTTTCGAATGAACTGCAAAAACACAACTGAGGCACTCAATTTTACATCAGTTCATTTTACTTGCCATCAAAACCTATATTGCTCGTCAAGAAAATAAACTGGACGAAATAAATTGTAAATTGAGTAGGACTGCTATTTTGAGATTGCTACGAGGCCATACTTTATGTGACCCCTTGCCACGGATTCATCATGATGTCGTCATTATGGATCAATGAACGATTCAGAGTCGTTTCTGAACATCAATAAATAAAATTGTTATCAAGTAGGGCTGTTATTGACTTTTTGATGTCATACCGCGTCGTTAGGTGCTTCCACAGCAGATATTAGGGAGTGCCTAACGATGCGGTACGACATCAAAGAGCTTAAACAACATCCATACTATCCCTCCTCAATAACAACTTTATTGGTCTGTGATAGCAACGTCATGATGAATCCGTGGCAAGGGGTTAACTAGCGTCGGATCGAGCATGGCCCGTGTAGCAATCTCAAAATATTATTGTCTCCTATGACATTGAAAGGTAAAATAACACCGGAGCTGAAATTTCTTGTTGATTCCACCGTGCACGTGTTCATTGACAGCCAGATAACATTGATTAGGTTTCCAACAGTTCCCCGGAACGTTTCATGGAAGAACACTTAAATTGCACACATTTTGGAGCTTGTATGCTTCTCAAGAACACCCACTTCAGCAGCATCGTCACAGATTAGACAGCGCCAACAGCTCTCAACAGATATAGATCTACTCACCGTCATGTCCACTCGCTTCTCCTCTTCTTTCCTCTATATTCTACTTGCCTTGACAGCTTTTGTCGCTACAAGCTGTGCATTCAGTGAGGCTGACTTCGTATAAAATCTAATCCTGTTGACTCACGATAAATTAGCAACCTTCAACTATAATGTAAGTGCCTAGTACCAAACCTCGTTATATTGTTAACCTCAGATGTAATGCACCCAGTACTATCCTCGCGTAAGCCTTGTATCAAATCCATGAATTGGCCTCGCGATATTAATATTGTACGCAGGGCGAGACCGCTACAGTTCAAAATACTATTGCCGAGGTGGCTCGCGAGACCCCAGCTGTCTAGGTAAGGTTTCGATGCTTTATGTCTGACCTCGTCATATTGAACTCAGATGCGATACATCCAGGTGCTTCGTGTAAGCCTTGCTTCGCCTCAAACCCATTGCATTAGCCTTACGGCGTTGATTTTGTACACAGGCCAAAAGCTTACAACTACTGGTGGTGTGAACTAGACCGAACTGACTTTCCACTTCGTTTGTCGAACTTTACACCAGTGATGTGACAGGCACACTCGATTATTCCGAAAGTTTTGACTCATGTGTTTGTCATAGTAGAAATGTTGAAATTCGTTTATATCAGTTTGACAGTTTCGAGTTTTGTACGCCTCTGAACAACTTCTTCCAAACATCTACATATTGTAAGCAGATGTAGTCTATCTATATAAGTGCCAGTGATATTCCTGCCTCCGTTTTCACTTTCGGCGGTAGAGCTGCACCGGCCGATGACGGAGTTCTCAGTTCATTTCATCAATGCTCGCCTGATTACCACAGTGGCAGGTGATGAAACCGCTCTCGAGCTGTATTGCGTCGACGTCTATCGCTTTTTATGATATAGAGACAAGTTGTTAGCCATCATTACTCGCAGATCCCGAGGAATGTATACAGCGTGCCTTCCTATCATCGCGCAACATGTTCATGGACGATTTCAACGACATTGTGCTCGAAGCACTGCCAGGGGATTATGGTAAGAATATTCCGATGTCTGTTCGCACATGCTAATGCGAAAAACAATAGAATATTACTTCAGTTCAGACGTACCAAAGGAAAGGCTCCCTCACAAACGCCGCAATGCTGACCCATCCGAGTACCCCTCCGCATCGGCTAGACCTCAAAGTTAACGCAATATGTTAGTGGGGGTTAGTACGAAATGCGTGCCTCCGAATCACTGCTCTGCGCAGACGCTTCGTCGAAATGCAAATTCCACACACGGGCGGAGTCCATTGCCTTCCTTGCATCACATTCTCCTTTAATCCCGCGTGCTCAACCGAAAACAATTTCCGCTGCAGCCTGCATATGCAACGACGTTCAAAGGCTCGCAAAGTCTCACTCTCTGGCGTGCAGAACTTGACCTTCGCACTGATGCATTTGCATATGATCAACTGTACACGGCACTGTCGAGAGTTCGAAATCGTCGCGACATTCGAACAATGTGGTCACCCACAAATGAGGAAAGGGATACCGTGAATGTATTTCTCTTCGTTACTACTGTAAAGATCTGTGTGAGCAAGAAAATAAAAGGCCTAACCGTCCGCAGGCGAGCGGATCGCTTGTAAGTAAGTATTTACCGAGCCGATCCCATCCATCGTTGGTACGGGCTAGCCCATATCCTCCCACTTGACTTCGCGTTATGATTGCATCTCTGTCTTGTGCTCTGCCCACACAGAACCCCTCTGGTTCTCCTTAATGTATGCATAAACCTGTGACCAATCTCGACATATATGCGTCACACCCAAACCGTCTGAGCCTATCATCGATCCATCAATGTAGACTGGATCAAGGGTAGTATCAGAATTGCAAAGAATGGCCTGTCGCAAGAAGTTAAGGCAGTGCCCACTATGGTCATTGGGCCCGTTAATAAGGGCTAGCCGGATCATTTGTAGACAATGAATCTGGTGAAACATCGAGACACCAAACAGTCGCCCTAATAGAATATGGGAACGGCAAGCGTCTGACTCATGTATTGGCAAAAATGGGGTGAATGATTACTTACCATTTGGTCCCAGACGCACGAATCCGTGGCCTTCTGGGAAATGATCGAGCAAATTCCACTCCGACCAGGCTGTGAGCCCTGATGTACTGTAATACTTTGAGTCTTCAAACGTCAATGCGGCGATTTCCAAGTCAAGGGGTAATTCGATCGGATGATCATCACCAATGTAAGCTGCATCAAATATGCTGAGATGAACTCGTGTGGCTGTTTGTAAAGACAACCCTGACATACTGTACTGTCTATCATCGACAGACTTGTGTTGCAAGCGCAGCATGGCGAAGATGTTTAAAATGATGCTAATGACGAAAGCACTAGTCCCAAATACGCGCAGCACGTCTGACAGTCGAAGTTTGAAGCTGTGAAGCATTGAGTTTGTCGCTGGACGTGCTCTAAGAGAAAAGTTCAGGTCACTGAATATACATATGCTGCAGAAGACAGCTATTAGTATTACATGCTCAACTTACCAGAAACTACTAGTATTGAGAACTATAGCTTGAGCCGTTGCTGGCAGGCGCGAAAAATAGCGTGTCACAAGTCGGGTTGCTTTACTTTATGGTACGTGTCAGCAGAACCCTTCTGTGTGAGTTGTACTTGGTTGAAAAAACTGCCGGACCTTCGACAAC